CGCACAGTTATTAATTCTGAATTAGAAATGTTCTAGAAACTTCAGAATATAACTGAAATTTGAAGGTCAAGCCCACCAGAGGTTGGGTGCAGTTTCCTACGCCGATTAACGTTACTGGAACACTTTTGTTAAATTTGCTTCCGGGTGATCTCTTTCATCACATGACGTATCGTCCTCACAACCACATTCAGGCCAACAAGTCAACAAAGCAATTATGAACCAACATTTCTTTGCACAACATCTATTCGACAACACAAGAAACCACTTAAGTGCGGTATCAAAATACGGCGCAAAAGTCAGGCAACCCATCCAAATCATGTGGTTTCTATGCTGACGGCGCCTACTGTTCTAAAAGCGACGTGGACAAGTTGGTGCATTTTTATTTGGTGCGTAACGAGGCAAACGATTCAGAATAATAGAAGGACGAGTAGGGACTTGCATCGGCGACATCGTGGCAGTTAAGCCAAAAGGCTTCCATCGTCACATTTGTATCTTCCCTCTGACTCAACAAGAAAATCATCGAAAGCCAATTGTTTACATCTTTTAGGAGTAGCTGCACCCACAGCCTTCAGAAAGCCTTTGTTTGCCCCAGACGGTGGAGGCCAGAAGCGGCGCCGAGTTGACTCGGCGCTGATTGGCTGCGAGCCGGCGCGTTCGTGCTTTCTGCCAGCCGGCGAGTGGGCGGATCTGATCACGGCCTTTTCGCGGCTTGTGGCTGCATTTTGTTCTCGGCTGTGCCATTACGGCTGCTCAGTGTTGCCGCCACTCTGTTTGGCCGAGTTGGGCTTGTAAAGGCGTATCGATCGGACCTGGGGGGTGAGTCAATCGCTAAACGAGCGGCCCAAATGCTCGGTGTCTGTCGTTTGAGTGCGGGCGCAGGCGCACACGCACACGCACACCACTTTGCCAGCACGTGTTGTTGCACGCCCACTCCGTGTGCTAGCCCAAGCCTCGGCTTTATCTGTCTGTCTGCGTGCCTGTTTCCGCCTCGAGGTGTGGCGATTCGCCTGCCTCCTCAGCCCTGCCACAGTGTTGCGGGTTCTCTTGTGTCAACTGTCTCGCCGGTGGGCCCATCCGGACCGCGTTGACCAGGCCCCAGGCTGCAGCTCTCGATGGCCTGTCTCCGGCTCTGTCCGTCTGAGTCGAGGCAGGCCCAAATATTGTATGCAGCTGGCCAATCGGATGACGGCTGGCTGACTGCTGGCTGCTGGATGGTTGTTTGCGTGTCTGTTGACCCAGAGGACAGACGGAACAGCATGTCTCTTGGCCTCCACGACCGCCGCCGACGCCTCGTCTCAGGAGCCCCAGATTCTGTTTCATCAAATCACTCTCTCTTCCTTACAATTGGTTCAACTTCGATGACCTTTTTGTCAACTCCAAGCGAGAAGACGGGGACATTCTTGTCGGAATCTTCTAGGCATGGCGCCATGACAAGGCGAGGCCGGATGACATTTTGTCTGGACTTCGTCGGGCAGACGAGGTTGAACGAATAACATGTCGTCAAGGCAGGTGGGGAGGGCCCGAATAGAACTCTACTTCAGTCGATCCGACAATTAATGATGAAAGCTACTTATTTGGTATATGAGTAGAATGTTGCCTCATCTGTTGCAATTAGAGGGCACATGGTGTTTCAACATTTACACCCTAACGACATTCACAGAACTTGAACATATGCCATGCTATGTGCATATACCCACACACACGCACACAACTATGCTCAACATATCGTGTGCTTTGCTACGAGTCTGTATTTTTAAATCATGTCTTTGCCAGAGCGACAAGCTTCATTTTAAGGAGGAAGTGTTGAGTTTTCGTTGTGATGAAGAAAAGGGAAATTGAACGGAAATCAAAGGCTAACGTCGTGCTCTTTTATGCATGAATAGGTCAATCGGATGAGTAGAGCTTACGTTTTAATTGGATTTCACATAGTT